TCCTGAAGGTGTTATGACCCTGAGTTTCTGCTGGTGCGTGGAAGTCTGTGCCATGTATGTGATTACTTCATCCTTGGCTCACACAGCCTTCCTGCAGCACTCTGCGACCTGAGTGTCCTAAATTAGCGCCGTTGCCCTGCGGTTTGCTGGTCAGAGTTCCTCTGTCATCTTGGTAGGACTCTACATTGCTTTGGAAAGGTAGGCACAAAGCCTCAAATTAGCTTCAAAAGCTGACTTGGAGGGCTGTGGGAAATCTTGCAGCTTGTCTGTGAGTGCAGGTTGAGGTGCAGCGAGTTGCAGAAAGTCGAACATTTGTCACCTCCAATCTGAATTACAGGTCGGGCCTTCGCCTGTGAGGGCAGGGTGATATTTTCTGATACTGGAGGTGAAAATAGGCACAGATTGCATCGGTCTCCTAAGCTTAATATGGAAGTGCACCATCTCGAGCTTCTATAGTACTGTTACAAACTGGGAGGCTGAATACAGACAAGAGATGAAAACAGTATCTCGGTTGTGCCTTTGAGCCGCTTTGCCTTTCAAATCAAACTTGAATTCAGTTTGTGCCTATTGCTGGTCACCTAAAAGTTGGCGTTTTTAAAATAGGGGCATTCTAGAGCTGATGGTAGCGAGTTGAGTGTATGAAGGGGCTCGTGAGCTCCCTGAGCAGGAGGTGCTTGTTTGCAGGATGCTTTGGAAAGGCAGAAATAACACGGATTTTTGCAGGACCCTCAGTGATGAGTAGTCACCTACATATTATGCTCTGAAATACACTGGTGCAATGTGATGGTTCTTGCAGTAATACAGCAGCTTGGTTTATTGGTGGAGCATTGAATCTCTCTGCAGCCTTCAAGAGCGAGGCTGAAGGGTGGAGATCTTGTCTGTCACCGTAACACCGAAGTAATTTTGTCATTGCTGTTAGTGTAGTCTCTGCAATACCTAGTTGGGAACAGTCGTCTTTGACGAGTGGCTTTGCCTCAGCAAAGTTTGTATTTTGTTTTGAAATAAAGCTTTACCTGCTTCCATTGTATAGGGGTTACTTTTGTAAATGGTTAATTTTATAAATGGTTTTCACACTTAGACCTTAGTAAATTGCTGGATAAGAAGTTGCATATTTATAGCTTTAAAAAGGATAAGAAGTTGCATATTTATAGCTTTAAAAAGGTGAATATTGGTAAAACTTACACAAGGCTCTAGCTTTTTGTGCTACTGCTGTTTTTGAAAGGAGGCTAGTTACTTAAAAGGATTGGTGGTTTGGCATAATATGTAAACTCTGTTCCGCTGGGTTAAATGTGGACGAGCTGTACTTCAGGTTGGCCAAGAGCAAAGTATCCTGCTCCTTGTCGATGTTCACTTTAGCATTCTGGATGCATTTGTAATAGGCTTGACTACTACATAACAAAAATGCTTAGCTTTTTAGGTTGTTTTTTACCTTACAACTTGTTCAAAAGTCTGGGAAATAGAAGAATCCATAACTGGAATACTCTTAACGATACTCCAGGTTGAGGCCGAGGTGCTGCTTACTAAACCAGCAGAAAATATCTGCCCTTTGGGGCCAAATTAGGTGTTTCTGTCATATTGGTGAGCCAAACAAGTGTGTGGCGTGGTCTGGCAAGGGCCAGAGTTGGCACAAGGAGGTGTGGGGCTCCAGCCGGCATGGATAGATGGACTGCCGTTTCTGTTGCCAGGTGTTGTGTAGTAATGGGTTCCAGATAAATCATTGGAAGATGAAAACTTTGGCTTTGGGGAAGCAGGACATCTGGGTTTGATTTCAAATCTTGCTGCTCATGACTTGGAGGACTGAGTACTTGTTTACTCCATCCTTTTCCCCTTGGTAAATTACGGGGTTCTTCCTGAGAGCTTGTAAGTATTCAGTGCCTGAGCAATATGTTTTTACCTCAAAACCTGTGCCGTTGCATACAGGCCCAAAGAGAAGGCAGCATCTCTGGTTTTGGGTAGGCTTTTGCCAACTCTAAATTTGTCCGTGGGAAGTGAGTGGGTTTTCCATTTCCCCTGAAGCAAGTAAGAAAGGCTTTGCCATAAGGACTGGGAGTTTGCGGACTGTAAGTTCTTAGTTGAAGAAATAAAAGATCTTGAGGTGCAAGGTGTGTTGCCTATTCTTTTTGGATACTATTTTGTTACTAATTATGTAGTTTATGCATGGAGAAGAATGGTAGGTTTAGGTGGAATTTTTTTGATTCCTAGGGAAGAATTTGTATTCTGACTGACTTTATTCTCTTCGTGCACCTTATGTCCTATCCTTGAATTGGCTGGATTTTATCACAGTTCACATTACTTTCAGAACAGTACTTCTAGGCAAAGTTACGGTGCTGAACAAGCGTGTTCTGGGTTTTTTATTGACCCAACCTTAATGTATTCAAATACTTAAATATTTTTTCTTGGTATGGATCTGTTTTTAATAAGCCAGCATGCAGAACGCCAGGGTCGGCAGGGAAATGAACGCAGTTGCTTTGCCAAATTGTCTCTCTGTCATTTGAGAGGCAGCCTGTACCTATTTGGATTTTTCAGCAAGTGATGAAGTTGGGGTAACAAATGTAGGCTGTGTTGGCTCTGTCAAGTCAAGACGTGACCTACCTGGACAGATCAAGAGCTGGACAATCCCTGACCCTTTTTTTTTCTCCAGAAATTGTTTGTGGCCTTCTTAAAACTGGAAGGTAATTGAGTGAGTGTTAAACATGAGAGGTGCTGACGAAAGTGAGAGACTCTGAGAATGTGAAAGGCAGGATAATTTTTAAATGTAAAAACTGAATATATTTCCAAATTTAGATGAGGCCGAAAGGGGTAGAAGATGTCTTGGTAACTCAAATGCAATTAATGTTATGTTGATGCTTTATTTTGAAGCATCTGAAGCCTGGAAAAGGTTGTTTGGGCCTTATTAGTATTATTACTAGTTCTGCTTATGCCATCTTTCCTGTTGTTAGCTCTGCGTATGCTGTATTTCTGATTAGAAGTTGTAGTTGAAATTTGTACGGGTGGGAACTCAAATGAAAAGCTCTAAAAGCGAAAATGCCTCATATCCAGAATGAAAAATGTCACGTTTCTGTGTAACTGGATCTAGATCTCATGAATACTGTGCTGAGCCATTTTGGGAGGACGCTTCAAGTGTGTGGTGTTCCCCAGCTGATCATGCTCCATGGGATGTACTATTCTTTTTTAATCTCCTTCGTTAATAACATCACAGATTTTTCTAACTTTTCCCTCACAATAATGCCATCTCCGACTCTTCATCTGGTGAAAGCTGATTACTGTTAAATTTGGTAGTTTTCTCCAGTTTTACCTCTGAAAGAACATATGGGAGGAATGTATTAAAGAGAAAAGCTTGGGGGAGGAGGTGGCAGAGGTAAGCAGGTGTACTCAGACACAGCGCAGCTCTATTTCAGGGATGCTCCTGTAAAAGTGTTGGCATGCTTAATGGCATGGAAGTAAAGGCCTCTGCATGTCAGCATTTGTAAGAAGTACAAGTTTCAGTACTCATAAGCAGCTTAGTTAAAAGGAAAGTAGCTCTGCTAGCTAATCTGACTGTAGTCCAGAGTTTGTGTGTTTTATCTTGCTTTCAAGCTAATTGCATAGAATATTGTAATACTTAATCATATCTCGCTGTATTACAGCATGTGCTGCTATACCTCTGTTAGTTTGGTAACTTACCTCCAATTTTTAACGATAAACCCTGGGTAGGTTTTCTGTTCTTGGAGGTAAACTTTTTGACAGCAAACCTTACCCGCTGGCAGAGGAAGCTGAAGGCAGTTTGTGGCAGGCCCTGAGCGTGGCAGTGTGTAGCTTGTCCCTGTACAGCTTTGTCCCAGCACGGCTTTGTCGGTGCAGTTGCCTTCCGGATTTTGCCACAAGTTTGTATCTTGAGGCAACTCCGTTTGTGTAGCCGGGATTCCAGCCAGATGCCGAAAATGTTTATACAGTAACAGCAAATGAAAATCTCTTTACATTCTGCACAGCTTCCAGATGCCTGTGTATTGTGGGGATTTTTTTGTGTGGCGTGCGTGTTAGATTCCACCTTTCCCTTTGGAGATGTTTATCTTGGGTTGAAAGACCAGCTTGGCACATGTCCCTTCTGGCGCTGGCGTTTTTGTGTCACTGTGAGCTGCGGACAAAGCATGAGATGTGTGTCAGTTGGGGAGGTTGGGCACTAACGATGCTGGTCTGCGCCCTTCAGAGCTTGGAGAAGGGCTGTGACTACGTAACCTCACAAAAGTGTTAGCTAACCTTTTTTTTTTTTTTTTAATTGATGCATGTTGTAATTTAGCCAGCCAAATCTAAGCTGTGAAGCAGCCCTGTCCTAAAACATATACTTCAAAGATGCTTAACATTGCTTATGGACTGGATAGCCAGAAGCAGGCTGACTTTATGCTAGCCAAGATGAATATTTGGGACAGCATGGGCATCAGATATTGAATGTTAACACGGGGGCTACTGAGTCCATAGTCGCCTGTGTTCCTGCAGTGTGTGGTACTAAAACAGCAATACTTCTCGCATGGCTAAAAGTATCCCAAGGAGCTTCAGCACAATGGTGTGTGCTGCTGTTGTGCCTCTGGCCTGAGGTCTGGGATGGGGTAGGCTGTAAGTGTCTGGCTTTTCCGTGCCTGGGTACCGAAGGCTTGCCTAAACTGTGCTGCTGCAGTTCATACGAACAGCCTGGTTTCCAGTATCGAAGTCTCTGTTCCAGCTGTGGTGGTTGCCTGCTGAGGTCCTGTCAGACACAAAATGCTGGTTGCCTGCTCGTACAAATCAGCAACCGAGGGCAATAATACAGCAAAACACTTTCATTAGCAGCCCTGTGCTGTATCACACAAGTTTGATAGCAATAGGATAGGAAAAGGGGGTCTCAAGCTTAAAGAACAGGCTTGGGAGATTGTGAAGAGGCTGCTTCTATGTAAAGGGGTGTAATATTTTGATGGGTTTCTTCCCCTGTCTGTTGCAGCAGACTAATTACTGCCTG